AGAACCACAATACTACTTTTCCATCTGCATTATACACAATACAAAATACTGCTTACTGTATCCCTTAATATAGACTTCAAAACACAGCCAAAACCTAATAATTAGCTCTACTCTTCTCCAGGCACTAATGCTGACAAAAGTTTCTGCCAGCAATAATGAAACAGGACCGGAAGGACTCAATATACGGAGCTCGGCAAGATGACTATTTAGCAGACATCAATACAAGATGCACAAAAGTTTTACCACGGGTTGGACTTCTAACACTCAAAGAGGAGCATTACTACTTACAAGCCTTAAGAAGCAAATAAACAGTATCAGATTACCTAAGAGTACAGTACTGGATCTCAGTCAAGGAAGCTCAAAAACTACAAATAGAAAATGTAGCTTTATTAGACAAGCTATCACAGCCTGCTCTAATTAAAAGACTTGATATCACTTCAGCCAAGAGCTCCAGCTAGGCAGAAATCGAATGAGATTCAATATTGTGCTCAGAGGGCTTGTGGACCTGGAACAACGTCCTGTAAAACCACTTAATGCATTGGGATTTGATCCAAGTTACTTTTCCTGCACAGCTGAGAACATCATGGTATAGACATTTAACAGCATTGTTGTGACAGCTTTATATCACCATAAACACACCTTAAGCTGCAGAGTATTTTCCACATTTTACCATGGTAAAATGACTGCGGATGAAAAAAATAAACAGAATCTATATCATTAACTTTTTGAGATAATCCCACGAAGTGAGGAAAAAACCACCCACAACCTCCCTCATTAAAACTTTGTCTGGACTTCCAATAGCTGATCTCCGTAATGAGACAAACTTGGAGGTCAATGTAGAGCAAGAGCCACAGGCTCTATTAGCAGAAATTCCTTCTGAGACAAACCCTGGAGTGAGGAAGAAGATGGATCATTTCCTTTTGGCTTTTGGGAATGCAGAACATCTGGGATTCCCTGCTATTGCAGAATTACTGTGCAATCTAATCTACAGATATATCATAACCTATTGTATTCCCAAAACGTCTGTTTCTGTGAATACTCCAGAAGGATAAAACCAGGTAGCACAGTCATCTCACCTCCTTCCCTTTCCTCCAACTTTATGTAAAATACATCAAACAGCCTGAGAGAAGACTAGATACTGAGACAACACTTAGGCCACAAGAGTGAAATAAGTTCTGGAATTCTCTTCTAAAGTGAAAACAAACAAAAAAAACCCATAATAATAATAATAATAATCTGACCGGGAGGTCTGAGTCACTTACTGCAGCACAAATACAAAGAGACAACTTCATGAGTCAGGATGTTCCCTGATGTGCCCGAGGCAAAGATGTAGTTTTGCCACTGAACTGCGAGCAAAACGCAGCAGTTACTCCACCTTTCCTTCAGACCTCCACGTAAGTACAGGGCATTTTAAATGACTTTTGTGTATTTGTTCACTGTGCTTCAAATCTAAGCATAACGAACTCTGTCATCAACAAGAACACTCTAACCCCTTTTCCTGACTTTTACAGCCAAAAAAAAAAAAATAGTGTTTTCTCTTCTCACCTTCCACTTCTATGGAAATCTTCCTCACGGGACTCGAAAATAATACCTAATCTCTCTACAATCAAAGAGCAAGCAGTTCAATTAGAACAGAAAACCCAATTGTAAGGATTCAAATCCACCCGATGCCCATTCTTTCCCCTTGAAACTAAGCGTTGTCAGCAGTGGATCACATAGCCCAGTTAGAAAGGTTACCCAGCTACACATCCTTGTGTGTAGTGACTCAAATGTCAATACAGCAGTACTGCAGTCAATTTAATCTGTTGTCCTAAACATTGCCTCCGTGGTTAACACGGAAAATCATGACAGGATTATTCAATGACTCATAATTTAAATGCTTATCTTGCAAGAGACTTCACAAAGTCAAATACGTGCTTGCAGCCAAGTGTTTCTTGCAGAACAGCAGGTTTTATTTGGATTTTTTTTAAAAAAGTAAAAATTGGTCAGACTGATATTTAGAAGTTCCAAAATGATTATGCAATAGGAAGAGAAAAATTCTGTCTCAAGACAAAACAAATGTAAATATAGCATTTTAGTATGTTCTCATACTGAACATAAAAAGTCAGGACATGGACTTAGTCTATTTATAAAATCTGCTCTGGAAAATTGCCAAACCCTTCTAACAGAAGTAACAAGATTACTTTTAAAAAAAAGTCAGGCAAAAAAAAAGCAGAAACTACTGGAGCATGCACTATCTGCAAACCATGTAGAGCAGCTGCAGTAAAACTCCCTTCTCCATTAAAACTGGCAGGCAAAAATTTAAAAATTATTTTGATCAGTGATGACAGAACAGCAACCTTGAACATTCCCAGCAACAATAACTTAAGGAAGTAACAAACCAAAGCAATTTTCAGGACAACTTGGACCCTTGGGAAAATAGATTCCAAATGCAAGAATTAATAAGAATAATAAATAAGGCATACAAAAGTAAGAGATTTGGTCCCAATCAGTGAGGCTCTTCCACATGTATCTAATGAAGGCATTTTACGGGAAACGCCTGTAGGACAGTGTCTACCTGAGAGTGACCCTTTTGATGATCTTCTCTGTACAAAGATGACTCACTAGTTTATATTTTCCTGATTTCCAGTGCAGGAACCAGAGGACATGAAGTCCTAAAAAGAGCACATAAGCATACTTGGGGTCAAGATACAGAATCTATGCCATGATGAAGAAAAAACTCTCTAAGTCTCATTTAAGGTTCTCCTTTTCCTCTCCCATCTTCACTGATTATTTTTCCTTGAAAACAAAAATAGTGGGTATTACTTTTTCTTTTGATAGGAGTATGCGGAATAATATTTTTTTTCTTATTAATTTTTTCTCACCAAGATCCACTTCCCTGAAGAAGGTACTAAACCCCTTGGCAATATGACTATCAAAGCTATCAGAAGTTCTGGTAATGCGAGTCTCAGACTCAACAGCCAATTCTCAAACTGGGCATTACTGGGCACTGAAAATACCTTTTGAGCTTTTTGAAGAACACTCAAAATCAAAAATCTTTACCAATTTATATCAAAACCTTATCAATCAACCATATCAAAACCACTACTGAAATGTATTTAAATGAAGGGAGATCTGTGACATACAAACAGAACTTAAACTTCAAGCATCATCTGTGAATTAGTTTTTAAATACATTTAGGAGAATCTATTCCATTTAGGTGTTTTAACATTAAAAGGTGGCGAGTATTTTTCATTTGAAACTCAAAGTTTAAAATTGCTACCTGTATGTCCACTGAGATTTCAAGAACTTTCAGTTATTCTTCTAAGCATTTTGAGTAAGTCTCTCTGACTACATGGACAAGTATTTCTGCTTTCCTACTGCTCTGATGTCCATTCCACAGCCACGGTACCAGGAAGTTTAACGTATTTTCAGAAGGTAAGCAAAATGGGAAAACCATGAAAGACAGGTATACGCCTCCTGCAAGTGTCTGCACAGGCTGACATTCAACCACAAGCAGACGTAAGTTCACACAGTTCTCACAACCAGATACAAAATCATTCTGGGCTTTTAAATTACAGGGGGAACTAACAAGTCTTAAAACTTTCTCATTTTTGCAAGATTCTGTACCTGATACTTTATCCTAGCATCTAAAAGAGAAAGCTAGGCAAAAGGAAGCTGCCAAGAAGCTGCCACACTAGGGTAAACCAAAACTTTTGAGCAGAGCCAAGAGACCAACGAGGTGGGTTTTCTCAGCTCTATTATTGCAGTGTTTGACACAGCACAGTATTTTCAGTCTGAGCGGTATGACACTTGGAAAAAAGATTGGACATCGCATTTTAGGCATCTAGAAACAGTCAAGTAATAGACAGAGCTACAAGTAATGGAACTCTTTTCACTAGGACAGATCTTGCACAATTGGAAGTCCATACTAAAAACAGTCATATGAGCTTGAGTAAGTGCTCATTGTGTATTCATTATAAGAATTTTAACTCACAGACGTAAAAATGGAAAGTTATGAGAAAGAATTAGCCAGAAAGTGTTAGAGTCTGGCTGGTACTACTGCATCAAGGATCATCATAAATGTGCACATTACCCTGAGTAACAGAGCTACAAAGGCCACTCTTAGGTTATAGGGAACAATTCCCAGAGTGTTAGCAACTACTAGAAATCAAACAAAAGAGTTGTTCTAGCAGCAAGGACAGGTAGCCTGGGAAGAATACGGAGCGATTGTCCGAGCAACCAGAGATCAGGTTAGGAAAGCTGAAGCCCTGATAGAGTTAAATCTGGCCAGGGACATTAAAGGCAACAAGAAAAACTTCTATAGATATGTCAGTGATAAAAAGAGATCTAGGGAAAATGTAGGGCCTCTCCAGAAGGAAACGTGGGACCTGGCTACACGGGAAATGGAGAAGGCTGAGGTTCTCAATGACTTCTTTGCCTCAGTCTTCACTGGCAAGAGCTCCAGCTGCACAGTCCAAGTCACAGAAGGCAAAGGCAGGGACTGTGAGAATGAAGAACTGCCCACTGTAGGAGAAGATCAGGTTCGAGACCATCTAAAGAACCTGAAGGTGGACAAGTCCATGGGACCACACGAGGTGCATCCACAGGTCCTGAGGGAACTGGCAGATGAAGTTGCTAAGCCACTATCCATCATATTTCAGAAGTCGTGGCAATCTGGTGAAGTTCCCAATGACTGGAAAAGGGGAAACATAGCCCCCATCTTTAAAAAGGAGAAAAAAGAAGACCCAGGGAACTACAGGCCAGTCAGTCTCACCTCTGTGCCCGGCAAGATCATGGAGCAGATCCTCCTGGTGACTATGCTAAGGCACATAGAAAATAAGGAGGTGATT